TGCAGGGTATACACAAGAATGATAGATCGTGGGGTATACATATACATACGAATGACAAAGAAGCTGCTGTTGACGCAACGAGTTCATGCCAAAGGTAAATGTTGTTCTTGTACGACTGCTACAACTTAAGCTGAAATTAGTCAAGAACGTAAACCTACCGGTATGTAAACCCGAGTCAGCTGACACGATCTGTCTTACCAGAGCGCCATGTAAATGAAAACTCAGCACCGCAGAATTTTTCTGTAGTTGTAGCCCGTAGCTCAGAAATCTGCGGAATTTAGATTTTTCCGTGTCAGCTGATTTCCCCTTCTTTAGATGGTTGCCACTTCGTCAGTTTTACAGATGGTAAAAAAGTTATAAGCTCCTACTCAAAATATGTTTAAAATATTTGAAATTTACTATTGAATAAAGTTTTTGTTGAAAACTAAGTAGTTTATATTTAGCTAAAATCTATTATAGCACGAAAAATTGTAGTTGAAAGGGTAAGTTTATGAAAAGACATTGATGAGTGGCAACAGTGTAGTAAGCAACACTGAGGGCTCCAGTAATCGACAAAATTCTGCGTATACAGACTGCGTTTAAGTATACGTTCTGCGTTCTCGACTAATTTCAGCTTTATAGTTATTGAAACATGAACAGAATTGAAGCAAATACCAGTGTTGCCAACTTTTGATTTTCAAAAAGCACCAAAAACTTGGAAAAAGGGTGTTTTACAACACTAAAAGCACCAAATTTTTTTTAATCAAAGGATGCTTTTTTCATAACAGTTTGTATTTAACAAAAGCAAAAAATTAACAATATTTATAAGAATACATACATAAATCAATACACAAAACGTTTTCGCTCATAACGATTGAATAGCCTCTACACATGCTATGATGACTCATGCTTACAACGTAATACCGAAGTACTATTAAAGCTACTATATCTCGAGAAAGAAAAATCGAATCGCAACACACGAAAATAATGCCATAAGTAGAAATGAGCAAAAGATTTTATGTTTTCATTATATAACCTCAAATATCGCAAAAACCCGTTTTTTTGGCAATCTGGGGGTAGGATATCTAAAGATTCTAGTACTAGAGCAATTGTGCGGCCAGATTTGGATTCAGCACCAAGAAACGATGTGTTTTATTCAGGTGGTAAAAAAATTAAAATTTGTACAAACATTAGAAAGAAAAAAAAGAAATACTTAACTTACCTGCGTACGAGCATTTTCAACGCGACTAGAATTCAACAAGGTGGGTTTGCAACTTCAGCTTTTTATCAATTATGGTCGTATTTTAGTGCATTTAAATTTGTATAGTCTTGTAAATTCCGCATCTTCATGAGACACCGCAGCTTATAATATTTCAAATTATTCCAGGTTTTAAAAAAAGCACTAAAAAGGGCACTAGGCACTTAGTAATTTTTTTTGGGGTTTTAATTTTCAAAAAGCACTAAATTTAGTGCTTAAAGCACGAAGTTGGCAACTATGGCAAATACAAAACACAAAAAAATTGCTTTCAAGTACTTGAATCATGTTCATGATGCAATAATACAAGGTGGTATCAATTGTGACAGCTCGATTTGACACTACCTTAGCTCAGTAGAACGAGAAGAAAAACGGGAAGAAATTAAGCCCATTTGGGGTGAAAATATAAAATATATAAAATAAAATAATATAATAATAATATTATAATATAATAATAAAATATATTATTGCATCATGAATCATGTTAATCGTGTGTAAAGGTCTGATTATGCATACTTTGCTTAACTTCGCACAACCATTTGTACTAGTGCAATAAAAATGTTACTTAATAAATTGTGAAGCAAAATCTAAACTCAACAGATCGATAAGTTTTTGAAAGTTTTGCTAATTTCTGTAAAATGGAATACATACAAAGTACATAAGAAGTTACAGTTTGAAATTTATGCGAAGTTATGCGAAGTATTCATAATCAGACCTTAATAGTCGCCAAAATGTTCACCCAAGCTATATTACTGGTTATAGGTGTGTACAACTAGTCAAAGATTGCGCCAATCGAGTTGAGAGCAACCGGGCGTGACGTCAACAAATACCAGAATGAAAGAACAGGAACTCGACAAGAAAGAGAGGAAGCAACGAACAAAAAGCAGTATTGCCAAGTTTTGAATTTGGAAAAGCACCAACGTTTTATTGGTGTATTTTATGGACTTTATATGCATACATAATTTTATTGTAAGGATGCCGATTCAAACTAATAAAAATCAATGGCTGAATTTCTTTATTCATTCTGAACGTTTGGAATAAACTTTTTTGTTTACTTGTTCTTTAGAACGTTCCTGATGATATGTTAACGTATATTTCAAAAGCATTCTGTTTATTCCGGCTCTGAAATGGGATTATCCGGAATGTATAAAGAAACGCAGCCAACGTTTCTTGCACGACGGTCGATTTCTTCTGCCTTGATTGAAAGTGCTACCACATACTTTGTTGTCGCTTATGATTGTCACTGTGCCATTAGTTTGTTTAAATTTTTGCAAAGTTGGTTACAACACTTACAGTCGCTATAAGTTTCGGTGTCTTTCTTTTAAGATTTTCATATTTGGTGTCTTCAAACTAAAATTAAAAGCACCAGAAACGCACCAAACACCAAACTCAAAAATTTCCGTGTCTTGAATACCCACTAAATGTGGTACGAAAAGCACCAGGTTGGCAACAGTTAATGTAAACAAGAGTATTGTGTCAAGAATGATAGAATACAAGATTGCGCCAATCGAGCTGAGAGCAACTGGCCGTGACGTCAAAAAATACCAGAGTGAGAGAGCAAGACGAACTCGACAAGAAAAAGAGGAAGCATCGACCAAAAGGCAGTGTTGCCAAGTTTTGACTTTGAAAAAGCACCAAATTTTTATTGGTGTATTTTATGGACTTTATATGAATACATAATTTTATTGTAAGGATGCCGATTCAAAAATCAATGTTTCTTGCACAACGGTCGATTTCTTCTGGCATGATTGAAGGTGCTGCCACATATTTCTTTGTCACTTATGATTGTCACTGTGCCATGATTTTGTTTAAATTTTTGTAAAATTGCTTACCACACTCACGATTGCTATAAATTTTGCTTAAATTTGTTTCAGATTTTCTAATTTGGTGTCTTCAAACTAAAAACAAAAGCACCAAAAACGCACCAAGCACAAAACTCAAAAATTTTCGCGTTTTGAATACCCACTAGATTTTGTACGAAAAGCATCAAGTTGGCAACAGTGAATGTAAACAAAAGTATTTTATGACATCAGCGATTAGGTAGACGCTGTCAAATCGACGAAGAGAGGGTTAGCGGTCCGCGAATGGCGCGACCTTTATTTTCTGGATCGTGGTATTGTGTGACGTCGGTGAGTCTGGCATAACCTAGCTGTTAGCGGTCTGCGAATGGCACCACACACAGCGAAATTCGCATTGTCAAAATTAAACATCCGCAAGTATATTAGTCTGTTCCTTTGAACTTCGGACTAAAACCTGTGGAACTGTCAAACTACAATTTTACTCTCTCAAATGAGAGTAAAAGGAGAACAGATGCAGAAGTACATAGGAACGCAAAAAGCACTATTTCCTGTAAAAACGTCAGTCGGTTTGTTTACATGTCATTTGTACAACACTGATTTAGCTGACATATCACTAAATAATTATTAAAATCTATACATATTCAAACATTTCGTTGTTTAATTCCATTTTTTACAAATATAAGGTTCTTTGCTTTCACCGCTTTCTGTTTTTGTTTGCACATGCAAATCAGCTGATCGTTTGACACTTTTCATGAACTTACAGGAAAAAAAACTCCGGACTAAATCCTGTAACTTCTGACTAGGAACAGTTGCTCAGTTACTCTCTCAAATGTGTTCCCACTTACAGGTTTTATGTCAATAGGAACGACTTCCTGTAAGTTCTAACTAAATCCTGTAAACCGGACTGCTATTGGAACAGACCAATATGAAATTGAACACGAATTTCGCTCAGCAGCGTTTCTTAAGCTCGGAACACTTTGACGACAGCAAGCGACAAGCAGCATCTGTTAAATTTTAAATACACACGTTCTTACGGACACAATTATTTTGACGACGATAAATTTATTTCTAACGCTCTGCTGGGCGATGGCAGCTGTACGTGCCAAACGTGGCCGTATTTCTTTTTCTTTCTTCTTTGGCTATGTGGACGGCATTTGAATTCATGTATTCATAGTCAGCTGTGGAAGCAACGCCAGCGACAACGCAACGCCAAAGTTCTATGTGAACGTGCCTTTACAGTTCTGGGCAAAATGGAATAAAAAATGGAGCACACAATTTTGTGAAAAAGTACCTTGGTTTCGCTTTGGATTTGACTCTTCGTTTCAAATTTATTGGAAAATATTAGCGGTAGCTTCCAATAATTGTGATTTTGTAAGTCAATTTTTGGTAAAATATATACTATGCATATCCAACAGATTATTATAGCAGTTCCCCGGATAGCTATAATGATGCAATTTGGTCTAGCAATTTAAACGCATAATTATTTATATCATAACTGATAGAATTCTGAAATGTTATCTTAAAGGTAACGAAAATAAAAATCATAATAAAATTTCCCTTAAAGTGAATATATTTTAAAACTAAGTACGCATATACATATACTTCAGCACTTAAGGAGAGAATACAAATATAAATCAAAACAAAGTGCGAAAAGTGGTCGTGTTTTTTGCAAATAACTCTTTAATTAATTACCGTTCATGGATTATTATTATTGAAGTTAAAACCCATCGAAACCCTCGAAATTTTTCGTCAATTTTTGGCCTTGTCAAGCTAAAGTGCACTACTACCATATTTTGTTCTAAGTTCAATCGTATATCCTACTGCAATAGTGCACACGGGGTAAAAAATTGTTTATACAAGTGTTGTGTTTAATTCGGTATTTTACTTATCTTACTTACTTATCATTGCAACCCTGTCGTTGTTTTTTTACATGCGCTTTTGCCTTGTCCGCCCCTAGTTAGCAAAGAAAATCGCATTCATTCATAGATTTCAGATTAGTGTTTGGAAAACTGTCGGCTGAGTTATAGATATTAAAAAAAAAGTAATCGCTAAGCGGCAGGTTGTGTTGTGCATCGCTACGCAGAATTTAACTAATTATTGAAAGACTTCGCAAAGGCAATGCAATAGTGATTTCGTAAATCGGCATTTGTTTTGTTTTGATTTCGAACTTCTTTTCGCCACATATCTCATACATATATTCGCGTATCTTTCAAGTGTATCTTTTATTTAGGCAATTTATCCGTGCTTGACGTTTTGTTGTAAATGTCAGCGTAACGAAATTGAAAGAAAAATAAACGAAAAGCAAAAAACGCATGTAAAATAAAAATTAAAAAATAACATCAGAATCTGCTTAACTGGTGATTTGACCAATTGCATTTAAGTGTTTTGGGGTTAAAATTTACTTACATACCTTGCACTACGGCAAAAGATAATCAAAAACTAAACTATTGGAACTGGAAAATCGATACATAGAATAAATTAATTTTACTAACCACTACTGCCGTGGTTAGGGCTCCGTTGCAGTGATGGACGACGAGTTCAAGCTCTGCTGGAAGAATTTCCAGGACAATATTGCTAGTGGATTTCAAAACTTATATGATCGAGGGGATTTGGTTGATGTCACACTTGCCTGCGATGGAAAATTGCTGCACGCACATAAAATTGTACTTGCGATATGTAGTCCATACTTTCAAGAAATTTTTATAACCAATCCCTGCAAGCATCCCATAAGTGAGTAGTTCATTATGCCTTTCATATTAGACCATACATAATTTTATTTTAAGATAAAATACATTAGCATTTTAAAGTTTCTCAACCGCTTATATTTTCTGCTTCTATGTATAAAGTTTTGTTCTTTTTACTGCATAAAAGAATGGGTTTATGTACATACATACGTATGTATGAATGCATGCAATACTTAGGTCTACATATTGAGTATTATTGTTTTGGTATGTACATATATATATATATATATATATATACATATATATATATACATGTACATATATATATATATATATATATATATACATGTACATATACCAAAGTACACTTAAGTTCATGCATACATATGTACAAATTTCTCTAAGTACAACGGGTTACGGAACAAATTTTGAACATATTCTAATTTATTCATCAAAAAGTGGCATTGTTTAAAAGCACATAGGTATCTAATGTCCTCTGCCGGCTGAAAAACTTGACTTTTTAATTGCACTATATACAAATTAGTAACTAAAATTGTTTATGCATGAAGTGTGTTCAAATTCTAAACTATGTATTTTAAGTACCTTGGCTGAGTTTCTAAGGTTTGATCCAAATTTAAATGAATCCATATCTAATTTATTTAAGTATATAATATGTACTACATATGTACATTGCCATGAACAACAAATAGGTAGGAAACCAAAAAATAACATGGGGATGTTTACTTCGTCGTTGTTTTTGTTGCAACAGCATAAGAATTCCCCAAAGAGTTTTTGGGGAGTATTGCTGGAGTGACAGTCTTTGCCCCGACTATCATGGATACGCAGAATATGAGCATGTTGCTCAAATACTTATAACCAAATTTCTTACTCGTCTTTCCGTAATTCTGTACTTGTTGTCAAGCTCCTTTAACAGTAGGAAGACGAGCTATTTCGACGGGGTTGGACGAGAGGTAGAGGAGGCTGGTGTCATGGTAGGTACTTTACATTTAGGAGTAATTTCCATAAAAAAAATGGAAGTCACTAAATGACGAAGATAAGTATGGGTCAACCATTAGCCCTCTGTTTTCAAGATGGTGCACAAGATTTCGTTCAGGCATCGTCTGAAAATTTAATTTTTTTCTTATCTAAGAAGTTACATACATAATAGCTACCCAAAAGATAATTTAGGCCAGCCTTCTTAAATAAACCCATTCTAAGAGGCTTACCTAAGAAGGGCTGCCTTCTGAAGTACTTCCTATAAAAGCGAGTCCATGGATAGTGAAAGAAGAAGCCCTTCAATTTGTGCCACTCCATACAAAAAATAAATGAGAAAGAAATATGTAGAGGAAGGCCTCTCGACGCTCAGTAAGGCCTTTCGGAACGGCGTTTGACTCCTGAAATTATCTACTCGGTATGGGGTGGTTTGAAGAAAACGACATGAAGTTTTTTGAATATGTCAAGTAAATTCAATTTATCACTTAAGGAAGGGGGTGTTATAATGAGTTTATGCTNCATGAAGTTTTTTGAATATGTCAAGTAAATTCAATTTATCACTTAAGGAATACTTTACACTTTTAGAATAGGAAAATCCCCTACTTACAATTTACGCGAATGCATAAGTTTATATTATTTAGTATTACAAATTAAGTTGCATTAAAACATCGTTGATATAAGCCTTAGCAAATACTTTAGAAATATATGACTTTTATGAATTATATGATACTTTAAAATAACTATCCAAAAGACCTTCTCAAGTACGTCCTACAAAAGCACTTCTGGACGGCTTAAGATACCTTNTTTTAGAATAGGAAAATCCCCTACTTACAATTTACGCGAATGCATAAGTTTATATTATTTAGTATTACAAATTAAGTTGCATTAAAACATCGTTGATATAAGCCTTAGCAAATACTTTAGAAATATAAGACTTTTATGAATTATATGATACTTTAAAATAACTATCCAAAAGACCTTCTCAAGTACGTCCTACAAAAGCACTTCTGGACGGCTTTCTATGGGTAGCCCTTCAATTTGTGCCACTCCATACAAAAATAAAGAAGAAAGGAATGCAGATCGGAAGCCCATCTGACCCTTAGGGAAGCCTTTCGAAACTGTTTAACTTTGAAACTATATTGGGACAACTATTCTAGCTGCTGTAAATCCAGAGGTACTTTGAATTTCGGAATGTCGACCCGCATACAATTTTCTTAGGGATATGTAGAATCATTCAAGAGAAGAAAAATATAGTTTTTTTTGTTGACGGCTGTGTAACACCTTAATTCGTACTATGTATTATTAGACCGGCTAAACGAAACCAAATAGTATAAAGAAAACTATAATATTTTTGTTAAGCTTATATTCATAATTTAACAATAAACTAGTTTAAGATACCCTACTAGTTTATCGTTTAAATATTGTTTGGGAAATCAATAAAATATAATATATAATAATGACAATTTTCGGGTGAATTTTTTTCAGGCGAAGCTCAGGATAATGCAGATGATTCTTGTAGGGCATTAAATTCACCAAAAAATTTCTCTAAATTTAATTGTCTATACTCAGATATGTATGTATGTATCTACGTACGGTTCGATTATAATCTTGTATCAACGCCATACCTCATTCAGCAATATCATTAACATATTTAATACTCTTAATAGTCTCTAAGGCAACCAACGTAATTTTTTTGAGAACTTAATGCCCTACAAAAATATGCCTAGAAAATAAACTTTATTTTGGATCGCCCTAATAAACATGATACTTTACATATCGCTTATTTACTACATGTATGCATGTATTCACATTAGTACGTTTCGAGCAAGAAGTTTGGCAGTTTATCAGTTTATCCGTGTTGTATGTATACGTAAGTAAATATTTGTCCATTTAATTATGATTTTTTCTGTAGTTTAATATTTACAACGTTTTATCAGTTGAATAACGAACGACAAAAGTTCACATTTTACAACGGTAGCCAATATTGCTTATGACATAAGTAGCTACAAGTGATATAAATCAACTTTAGCAATAAATTGTTTATAGGAAACAGTATGTACTAGATATATGAGCCAATCATTTAGCTCTTCATTGTCGCATACTTGGATTAATTTAAACATATTGAATGTTAGGTTTTGTGTGAAAAGCCTGTATCTATGCCATAAATGAATATAAGAAACGGCGCTTCCTTGATAAAACTGAAATTGCGGATTGCCGTTGTAAAAAGGTATTAATATTTTTAGGCCTTTCATGCATACATACTTACGTACACTTTATAGTACCAGTAGATATTTTGCTACTTTATTAAATCGAGAGATTTTCTCAATAAAACCGGGGTAATAATATCGTTGAATGTACTTATCCATTATATGTTAAACTAGAATAATGTATACATAGAGATAATGAAGTAAGTTAGGTGTTAACTATTTCTTACGAACACACTTAAATACATTCGATGTAGAAGATGGAACGTAGCATGCTCCAATTTTGATAAGAA